TTTTTGACCCAACAGTTGTAAGCATGCGGTGGAGGCGTATGACACTGTCTCTACATTGTTCGGCAACTGAATATGGCTCTTAAGCTAACATCCATTGACACTACAAGCACATGTGGTAAACTGACATAACACGTTCATTAACATCTACTGCACTGTATGGGTTATTTTTTGTCGGATACAAGCACAGGTTTTGTAACGGGCACAGATGAACGTAATGTTGGTGAATGATTATATGTAGACGAATGTAAATCACCCATAAATCGTACTTACAAACAGATCAAGTTTTTGGCGTGATTGGTTCTGCTCGGGTATCTTGTGTGTATCATGAGGGGTGTTTAATAAAGGCTGAATCAGCAGTATGGTAAACAGGAAGGATAACCAAGCAGCCGTTGTGTATTGGTCTATGGAAAGGAGTAAACATCTCACCCTGCGGTTGACTTTCAGGAATAAATAATTCATTTGGAAAGGGTACGTAGCAGGGACATTTGGAAAGGGTACTTAGCAGGGACATTTTATGGATACAAGGGGAATATGTTTGAGTGTTGTGGAAGGAGACTTGGAGATGCTGACCTAGCAAGCTCTGTGGTGAGGGAGACAACTGTGGAAAAGCACATGGAGAGGTGGCTGTTGTAAAGGTGTAATGCGGACTGGTTTCAGAGAGCTTCGAATGATGTGGAGAGAGAGAGAGAGAGAGCTGATATGAAGATGTCCTGTAGCGACGTGTGAAAACACTGGAGAGATATGGAGTTGGAAATGGTTGTGATGATGGGAGTCACGGCGAGAGTTTAATAGCACTATACAAGATTGCAAAACATTGTTAGCGTTAATAAGATAGTTATAGTTTCTCCACTGTGGTAGACATTGCTTAACGGGGTGTGCTGATGCTTGAAAGGCTACACAAGCTGTGGCCTGATCTGCTTTCCTTCAATGCCATAGTAAGCGCATCCCTCTGTTAGACGCCCCACAGTATATAATGCCAATAATTACGAATAAAGTCAACATGGTTATTTCACAATAGTTTATTGCATCTGATTTTTTAAATATATGTTCTATCTTGTGCTCACATCAAAAATAATTTTATTTACTTTGAGAATGGCAACACGTTTGCACTTTTTAAAATGACTAATTTTTTTTCTTTCCACTTCTTGTTTCTAATGGAGCACAATGAGTAACCAAATGGTGCAATATATAATCCCTGCCAAGTGTCGAAAACCATTATGTTCTCTATTAAGTTAAAAATAACCTTCCCAATTGTGAAATGCGACCACGTAATAGAATCACGGCATTAAGTACCTGCGACTGTTTATGTCATACACCGACCTTGTGATGAGCCCTGCTCTAACAAACCATCACACCGGGCAGATTGTGTCATTGCTCTGAACCAGCAGCACCAAGTCGCTTACCCTATAATCATGTTTGTAAGTTGGAAAAACTGTAATACGATCGTGCATTAACGTGTGAACATGTGCAGTGACATCGCTGGATGTCACCATGCTGTGGGTGCAGTACCGGCCCTAGAGGGGCATGGTGTGTGATGTAGTGACTTCACTGGATGTCACCATGTTGTGGGTGCAGTACCAGCCCTAGAGGGGCACGGTGTGCATGGAGTGACATCGCTGAATGGCACCATGCTGTAAATGCAGTGCCGGCCCTAGAGGGCACGGTGTGTGTGTGCCGACCTACGAGGAAGGTCGAGTAAGGCCATGACACTCTGGTTGACCCGGGAGGACACGTGACCGGTTTGAATGACAGGGGGCCCCCCAAGAGGGGGCTAGGATGGTCACGTGATTCGAAACCAGGTTCTTCCTGACGGTTCTGGAAGGGTGGCGTGGCCAAGGGCGGAGCCGGTTGTCCGTCCGGGGAAGACACCCTTCGTCTATGATCTCCGTTCTGCGAATCTTCCAGCACGTGGACCTGGGCAGTATGTTGTTGGTTCCAGGTCCGGAGTTAATAGTTACTCAGTAACCAGTTTAGTTAGCCAGGGTGATCACCACCCTAGGTCATTGTCTTGTTAAAGGAAGAAGTCACCCCATTGTGTTGGAACTAAATGCGCAGCCTCCAAGTCTGAGTGTGACTCGGTTGAATCTACTACAACTGGCATCAGAAGTAGCCATACGTTTTCTTTTTGAGTAAGATAGGCCAAGTTAGGTTTGATGTTTGCGCGACGCAGACAGCCTACCAGGACTTTATCGGATGACAAAGACGATGAGGGGATTATTCCCCAGACAGCCCCGGGGATGGCTACCCCAGAAAAAGGGAGTGAGGCGCCACTGGCGGAGCAGCAGGACGACCATCATAGCGATGGCTCGCCGCTGGCAAGGAGAGAGCGCCAATCGTTCCGCGCCCACCTCACTGAACTTCTCGAGGCCGTGGCCGCGATAATCGCCGAGCTCGAACGTGAGGAGCCGGTGGTGGAGGAGAGAGCATCGGAGCTGCGCGGAGCCAAGTCCTCCATCGTTGCTTCCCGCCAGCGGGAAAGCTCCAGTGCGCAGCTCACGCATGCGTCCGCCATTTTGTTTGTTGAGCGGGACGGAGAGCCCGCCAAATCTGAAAGCCCACCAAGTTTGCCTGTTGAGATCCCATCTTTACTGTTTGTAAAGGAGTTCATGGCTGCGGGAGGAGGCTGGGTGGCTTTCAAGTGTCGCTTCCAGATGAACTGTGATTTTGCGGGATGGACGGTGGCGGAGGCGATGAGACGACTCCTTAGCGGCATTTTGCACCATTCCGCCGACAGAGAGGGCCACGCTTCCCCAGGCCTTTGCCCAAATGGCGGCAATTTACGATCCACCGTCAATGTTCGCCACAAGTTCGCTGCGCAGAGGAGGGAAGGCAACCTTGGCAAAGGCTGCCTTCCCGAAGATGGACCATGCTTGAGTCGACTCGCTGGTCCACGAAAGGTTGCTGACGCTGGCGAAGGATCTCAACATCGTCCTGCCAGCCACGGAGGAGGATGATTTATCTTCCCTCAAAGTTGCAAGGTGCATCCAGGCGCACCTGCTTTTGAAACGGCATACGGGGTTGGTGGTGTGCACCGCGCCACTTGAGACGCGTGGTACACCCGAAGATGCGGAGCCCTTCCAAGCCTGTGCTTCGGTCCAAGGCGGAGGCTGGCGGGGAGACGGCATGGTGCGACGGGATGGACAACACCAATGACGGGAGACCTTTCTTCATCCAGGGAGCTGTCCCGTCGTGTGCTACAACTGCGGCATGCCGGGACACGTCTCGTCGGGTTGCCGCGCTCCGCGACGACGCCTCCCCGGACCGCTGCCGTCATCCACCCGACCATCCTCAACTCTGCTAGGTCCCAAGGTTCTGAGCGTTTAACACCCCCCAAACCGCAGCCTTTCTCCATCTCCAGGAGCTCAAGAGGCGGAACGCCCGTCTTTCCTGCTCATCAGGGCATTTTAGAATTCCCCCTGGGACCCCCAGGGAGCTTACACCCACCTTGCCTGGGGGCCCGGCTACAAGGACTCGTTCCAAGACTGTCCGGTTCTCGTGACCCCCACACACACACATTCCTACACCGTCGGTTGGATGTCATACTCGTCAGTCGTATTGGTCATTGGCTGAACCTGGACTTTATTGTGCTCATGGGTGTTGTTACATGTTGAGGGTGGGTGATGCTGGTGCTAGGGGGGGTTCCCGAGATTGTGTGTTACCACGTGTTTTTTTCTCTTTCTCTCTCTTCTATTGTGTTATTGCCCAATTGTTGTGTTCTGTCCCTCTGTTCCCTTCCCCCGTTCGTCACTGTATATAGTGTATATATTGTACATACCGGTTGATATTTATATGTTGAGGCACGCTAGGGGGCTTTATTCTGTTTTTATGGGGGAGTTGACAACCGGGACGGCTGGGTTTTACAAAGAGAGGGGGGGGGGGTGATGTAGTGACATCGCTGGATGTCACCATGCTGTGGGTGCAGTACCGGCCCTAAAGGGCACGGTGTGTGTGTGCCGACCTAAAGGGAAGGTCGGGTAAGGCCATGACACTCTGGTTGACCCAGGAAGACACGTGACCTTTTTGAATGACAGGGGGGCCCCCAAGAGGGGGTTAGGGGGGTCACGTGATTCGAACCCAGGTTTTTCCTGACGGTTCTGGAAGGGGGGCGTGGCCAAGGACGGAGCCGGCCACGCTGGAGAGAATATAAGCTGAGTCCCGAGAGGGATCGGGGTTGTCTGTCCCGGGGAAGAAACCCTTCGACTACGATCTCCGTTCTGCGAGTCTTCCACCACGTGGACCTGGGCAGTATGTTGTTGGTCTCGGGTCCGGAGTTAATAGTTACTCAGTAACCAGTGGAGTTAGCCAGGTGGTTACCACCCTAGGTCGTTGTCTTGTTGTGTTGGAACTAAATAAATGCGCTGCCTCCAAGTCTAAGAGTGCGAGTCAGTTGAACCCACTACACATGTGCAAATCCGTGCATAATACAATCTAATAAAACAATACTCCCCCCTGAAAAAAATCTAATTCTAAGAAAACAGACTGAAGTAAGTATGTTGTGAACACCCACAAAAATACAGCTTTTGTTTTAGCTCATAGGAGCTAGAATTATCTAGCCTCGGCATGCCCCAGTTGTTTTCTCGTCCTAATGGTATGTGACATGGAAATTTCTAAGTAAGAAGCACAATTCTTAGACTTTGAAAACTGCACCGAGAACATGTACGGAATTGAATCTTGTCTACCATGAAAAAAGATAGGTGCACTTAATACAAGCGTGCCCATGCAGTGTGCAAACTCAAGACAGTTCAATTATGTCAGCAGACCACCGTGTTCGGCTTAGCTGTGCAACCTCAAAGATTCCCTTTGTCGCATTTTGCACAGCGAGCGCTTGCCATCGCTATGGTCCCTTTGACTGCTTTCATTGTTGCGTAATTTACAAATGATGCACGTTTACTGGCATTGCCGTTAGTGCTGCAAAGTGTTTTTTTGTGTGTTCCTAATGTTAATGAACCATTGAAGCCAAGTCACAAGCCAGCAACAACAATGTAAATGTGAGCTTTAATTGCAAGTCGTATTTAGAGCATCCTTTATCACGTGAAAATGAGATCTGTAAAGCAAGGTAATTCAGAGGAAGGACAATAGGTTAACAACTTAACATTCAATTATCATACATTGAATGAATATACTGCATACTTCTATATATACACACATACATATAAAATGGATTTAACTGTCTCGTGAATCAAGATCCATATTTTCGTTTGGTTGTATGGAAAAGGGAAAAGTTGATTTTAAAACTATCCATTAGAAAACACAAAATCAGTACAGTAGTAAAGAGTTTTTATCATTTATATTGTTAAAAACGTTTTGGCACTCTTTAGATGGGAACAAATTGAGGTTGTAAATGTACAATGGATTGTTGAGCAATAAATAATTAGTTGAAAAGTTGAATGGAACTGCATTAAAATACTTTGTACTTTATAAAATTGTACTACAGGGACTACTTTGACCCTCTGTGTCGCATTGCCTGCTGCTGCTCAATCATAAATTGCAGAGACAATGGTGTATACTCTTAATTATTCTTTGTTTTTTTCGGTAAAGTCACGTAGATATGAAAATATGAAAAATAATAATAAAAGTAAAAAAGAAAGTGAATAAAAATAATATTTATTATTTTTCTTCTATCTATGTGACTTTACCGAAAGAACCAAATAATCTAAATTACTGCAGTCACGAAAGTTTTAAGTCAAAATTTATACTCTTACTTGGATGAGAACATTTCCCCATTTTACATGGTCAATGTTTGATGACTATTGAAATAGAATTATGTTATTGTACGTGCAATTATCAGAATTTAAATTGCAGTAACACCAGGGCCTAATTTTGGCCGGGTCCGCTCCGTTCTTCTGCCTTGAAAATGTGTTTGCACCCGGCACATCACATCCAGTATACCCCTCCTTCTGGTTGTGGATATTAGTCACATGTCTACGACTCTATCAGTGAGCCGGAAATTATGCAGTGTGAAATGAATGCCTAACACTTCATATCAATGGCCATGTTTCTCCCTTCAAGCCCGTAGGATGCACCGTTAAGTGATTGTAGCTCACATTGTTAGTATTTAAGTTTTATTTATTTATGTGTTGTCACACAACTACTGTGTAGTGTACAGAAAAATATATATTACGTCAGATATTATAAAAAGCATTTCCCCCCAAAATAACAACTTTCTGTAATCTTTAGTAATAGCATTTGCCAATGACTAATGGACATTTCTTGTTGGCATTTATTTCTGGCCCTTATGCATGCAAAGACGATAACCTCATATTGGTAGTTGCCAGGATAATGAGCAATTTAATGTTATACTTCTGGAATGGGGAAGCTATCCATGTATGAAATTATCTACGAGCAAACAGTAATAATTGGGTGTCACACGATGCTAAGGTTACACCTTAAATTAAAAGGAAACCTTCATGTTGATAAAATGCACTGTTATTCATTTAAAGTGTGCAGCGTATATGAACATTTTCTGTTAAATGTTGATGAAATTAGAACAGTTTCAGCAGTGGGCCACACGTTTATTTGGTTATTTTTGTACCAAATGTAAATGGGCCATTAAATTTCATTTCATATGATCGATAAAAAAAGACTTGATGATGTATTCCACGGCCGTTGAGAAACAGACATATCATTATTGTGCTTTATTATTCAACACTTGCAAAACAAACCCTTAAGGAGCATTTGAGCAAACACTATTTACATTTATACAGTATAAAGTAAGACCGGCTGGGAGATGCTGTGACTGAACCAAACACAGTACATTCCATTAATCTCTTTACCACCCACACCAGTGCTATTTGTAAACAAATGGCAAATTAGAATCATACAAATAACAAATAAATGTAAAAAAAAAACCCATATGCATTTCAAATTCTTACAGCAGCACTGACTACATAAATAGCAACGATATAAATAATCAAACCATCAACACTGGCAATGGTAATGTCATCTGAAAAAAACTGCAGTGTTATGATGATGACGTGACCGACTATGTACTCACCGTTGCGGTGATAGAAGAGTCTCTGCAGCAAATTTTACAAGCAATTCCTTCTACTGTGCTGGTGAAATGCCCCGAGCTTTAATAGACGAGGGATGTAATAAAACAACACGAAGAAATACGTATGGCTGTTGATACGTTCAGGTCTGCGAGTCACGTTGTCCATTGCAGTGTGGCCCCCACACGCACAGCACTGCTCACTTAGTACACCAGCTTCGTTTTCTTTTGGTTGACGGTATGGCAGCATGCCTAAAAAAAAAATCTACATTTCCAAAGCAATCATTTTCGATCCTTACTCGTACCAATGTGAAAGGTTTTCACGTTTTTGTATTTTTTTTTTTATAAAAAGCTCTTGCGCCTATCAAGCAGCCAAATATTTATAATCATATTTTGTTAAAATACATACTCTTATCCGATCCAAGTCCTTCAAAATACCAAACATTAAAATGTTTTTATCTATAGAGGAAAATTGTAGGTGATGCTATTGTCGTCGGCTTCGGCAACGGTGAATGTCGAAAAAGTCACCCTTTTCCGTTCGGTCGTCGGAGAGTTTAATGGGACATCGCCGTGGTATGGAATCATCTGGTCGTCTTTGTGTTTGCACGATCTGTACTCTCTGTTTTGGTAGCTAACGTCGCTGGCTTGTGAGCTGCTGCCCTCAATCTGGCTGTATCCTTGACCACTGTCCACCACACTTGCTTGCCGGTAGCCGAGCGAGAATAGCGTTTCCTTCTTGGTCGTCCTCTTGCAAGTTCCCAACGAAACCCATTCTTGGGACGTATTGACCTCTTCCTCTTGGCTCGGTTGTCTCTCTTGACACTTGCGCTTGCAAAATAATTTGGCACAGTTGATTAAGAAGAGCACAACAGCCAGGCTAAACACCCCCAACAAGGTGTACATCCCAATCTGCAAATCTGACATGCCTTTGTGCGCGGTATTGACGTGAATCCCACGCTCGTTGCTTTGATCTCCTGAATCGGGTCCGACCGTAGAAGAAAGCTTTGGTCTAGCCCCGTTCTTGTTCATTGCAGGAGTTACAGCCTCCAACTCTTCGTCTGCCGCATTTTGCCCTGTATCGAGGTCGTCTGTTGTTATTATTTGCAGCCCTCGGTGGCTTCTGTCGGTGTACCCTACGGTTGTGATTTCATCAGTGTCCGTTTCCACCTCGTAATCATTATCCAGCTCACTGGGCAGCATGTCTAAAGCGCTGTCGTTTTCATTTACATCTTCAGGGCTCTCTATATCCTGGATGTCCCCTCCAAACCTCACTCGCACAAAAGCCTGGGACAACATCAGGGTCATTTTCCTCTTGTTTTTCTGGCAAACACTTCGGATGTTTAACTTCACCTTCAGAAGTCGCCCATTTCCTTCACCCTCTGCGATGACCACAGGCCACGGAGACTGCTGATCCTGGTCAACTGAAGCGATTTGCACGTCCAGCGAGTTGACGGCGAGGGTGTAGTCGTTAGGATGGTAGACGTTGAGAGGGGCCATAGTTCCATCGCTGTACTCTACCCACAGTGACAGGGCTGCTTCCTGTACGGACGACATCCATAAACAACGTGAGATTAAAAAATGCGCCGTACAACATTTTTTTTACGATATCATTTTTAAGTAAGAAATACCGATCGAAGAGATTTGGTTGAAGTGTTTTAACTTAACTTTTTACGTGTAGGTTTATCACAACATGTTCTATTGGTTAACCTAGAAATGTGTATTTTATTTCGTGGGAGTGGTAAACAAACAACTGGTAAATCAACAGAACATGTTTGCCAAAGTATGTGTCGTATCTCATCAAATACCAAGCATCGTATGATACATAAGAGACATTTGGTAAGACAGGAAGACAGGCATGATGTACTAACCATTCATTACAAAAAAAATTCCTTGTAGTGTTACATAGTGAGCTGAGAAGAATAGGAACCAAAGACTAAATCTTAACAAAAAAAGAAAAAGTAATACGTAAAATTCCAACAACCCTGAAGACCTGCCGCACAGTTACAATCCTCAAATTAGTTTTAAGAACTTTAGCTGGTCTGTTGATCATGATTGTCAGCCAGTGATTGCAGGCCGCAACTTTATTTAATCGATTAGTTCTCCTTTTATATTCTGGAGTGTTGCTCATTAAATGTAAGCGGTGCTGGTGAAGTAAACATGCCACTGCAACTTGTGATACAAATACAATTCCATCCCGTGTGTGTGAAGTTTTTTCAGTTTGTATGACATTTAATCCATGGGAACGTGATTACGCGACGTTTTGTTTTAATGCTTTATATCACTGCTGGTGCTTTCTCATTAGGACTACTCAAGGGCCAGACAGATTTGCATGTGTTAGATGACTCTACGTTTATCTTCTTGGTTCTTTCGGTAAAGTCACGTACGTGACGTACGTACGTGACTTTACCGAAAGAACCAAGAAGATGAATCCCTGCAGTCACGAAAGCTTTAAATCGAGACTCTACGTTTATCAGCAAACTATTCTACAAATGGGATACTAAAAACAATATTCGTTGACCAAATATTCTACTTATTTTACCGCTGCATATTCATTATATAATTCCATATGAATACAATCAGCAGCCACGATTTGTACACTGCTGGTTCAAGGCCTCCTCAAGGCGCTGCCATCTCTTATCCATCCACCTTCTGGTTTCATCATTGCACGTCAACATGACTCATTTCTTTACAATTGCTGTTTGTGTTGAATGTGTTGCCCTTGTCACACACCTCCAATTAGCACGGCTGGCTACGTACGGTACAAAAGAAGTTCAACATACATACATACATAGAGTCGAGTACATGTCTTTCAGGCATACAATTACAATTTCTTATAAGGGAAACAAATACCAATGAATAACAATTGAATGATTACCAATCTATTATATAATTACAATACCCTCCCCGCCTCAAATCACTGCACCTTAATGAATTAAATGATGACGTCACCCTGCTGCTGCTGCTCTATTTAAGACCGGGAGCAAGAGGAGAGCCTCACCATTCTGGCAAATCGCCCGATGAAGCTGGATGTAATTACCAGCGAAACGTCGTACTCAAATTTAAATGATGTTGATTCATATTCTTGGTTCTTTCGGTAAAGTCACGTAGAAGGGAAATAATAAAATAATAAAATACAACATAATAACATAAAATTCCCACGACGTTTCGGCCACAACGCAAGCAGCCGTCCCTTCTACGTGACTTTACCGAAAGAACCAAGAATATGAATCCATGCAGTCACGAAAGCTTTAAATCGATAAAAGATGTTGATTCACTCTTCAACACACCGGTGGGCTAAGTAGTGAACTATTTGTCCTTTGTAAATGTGACACTTTTTTGCTGTTTGGCCGTGTTGGGTGGTGGAGGGTTACGACACATTTATAAATAACGCGATCTAACCCAAAAACCTTTATTATGAATACTATTGGTCGCGAAAGCCTACTACGTGTTAAACTGATGTTCCCTCTCGATTTAAAGTTTTCGTGACTGCAGGGATTCATCTTCTTGGTTCTTTCGGTAAAGTCATGTAGAAGGGAATAATAACAATATTTCCCTTCTACGTGACTTTACCGAAAGAACCAAGAATATGATTTTCTCCCTTTGGCTGCCACTCCGTCATAAATCTCAACCAATGGTGATCGTTCCTTTCAGTGACATGTCCTGTCTGAGCCCACGCACTCTTCTTCATCCGGTATGCTGTCATTAGCTCGTGGGAATTCCGATGTCTGTCTCTTAGTGTCGTTTCCAAGCAGGCACCTGTCCACGTTTAAGTTGATACTTATCACCTTCTGTTCCATTTTCCTCATCCACATTTATGATCATATGCGATGGCAGGATATATATATCACTGGTTATGAACCATCTTCTTTATGTCACATTCGTATGTTGTTTTTCATTATTAATTCATTATTAAGTTTAGTTTTCCAACCTGCTCCCATCTGCCTCCTTATTTCATAATTTGGATTTCAGTCTGCACTCAATAACTGCCAAATGTATACATAATCTAATCTGTTTTCCAGTTGTCTTTTCCCAAAATAATATAAATATATAACACCATCTGACATTAAATCATCTGCTAGCTTTATTAGAAAATGTGACAGATAAAAAAAATACGGCAATACGTGTGAGTGTACGGAGCATATGATTTTAATACACCATTATAACAGCCGTAACAGTTTAAACGGCATTTCACGAGTATGGAAGTATGTAAACCTACAAATGATTAAATTGCTCATATCAACACAGAAACTAAAGTTATTCTATCTGACTATGCCTCTTACATCTCAAATTACAGTTTGTTTCTCTTAGAGAATGTCATCTCACCAAATTGTTTCTGACTCAGCACTCAGTTGCTCGTGTGTAAACAAGGATACACAAATGAGGCCATATCCTCGACCGAGAACTCATGCATATTTTTAGCAGGATGTTTTTTTCTTCTTCTTCTTCAGGGGTGGTTGCATTATATCTTGACACACCACATTTCTATCCAAGTAACCCTGCGTTGATTGCAGCCATTGTATTGTGTGAGTGCCTCCCCCTAAGTTGACTGAACCTGAAAAAAAACCCCACTGCTCCAAGCAGGAGGAAATGAATAAAGGCAGCCAAGCGTGCCGACTGGCGCTGAGCCACACACCCCTAGTGAGCTGTATCGTAAAACACGCGCGTCCTCATAGCACTCTACTGTCTGGTCCGTAAGGACTTATGATTCGGGAGTTCTTTATCTCGCCTTAAATCTCGGGAGCTTGAGTCTTATAAATATCTGAGCATAAAAATAAAGAATTACATGGTGACCCCTGCATTATATAAACCATAATCTTAAAAATACAAAATGCTATCAATTCCAGTCTTAAACAAATTCAATCATATTTGAATGAAACACTATTATATATACCAACTAGCTTTACTACCCGGCTTCGCTCGAGACTTGGATTTTTGTCTTGGATTAATTCACGGCCGACGCGGAGGGTGGGGGGGCGGGGGATGCGTGACGTCAGCAGGCACACTGTGTGACGCTGCCGCATGCGGGTGACATCACAGATGTGACGTCACCGTACACTTGCTGTGCAAAATATATCCATTATTGCGCCCCCCCCCCCCCCCCCAAATACAAAAGTCTATGTTTATACTTTTTGCATTGTGTACAGTCTCGAAACTACCCACATGCCAAATTTCAAGTTTGTTGCATGTTGGGAAGTATGCTAAACATTTTGAACAGACACACATTCACATTTCGCTTTTAAACTATTGGCTTTTTTTATTCCAAGTATAATTCTATTCATACTTGCCACGAAACGACACACAATACCTTATTTTCTCACAACTGACAGTGACAACAGCTCAAATATGTACGTGGCAAACGCTAGTGACTTAAATCATCTCCAGAGAGAGAGTGTGTGTAATTACATTTATCATGCAATGCTTTAGAGTGAGATAAATGAGAAGTGCCAAGCAAACACACTGTCAAGATGAGTGAAGTAGAGTATAACAACTTAATTATTCACGTTAAATCAAGATTTAAAAGTGACATCTAGCGCTAATGGGAATTTAAAAGTGTAATATTGTTATTATGCTTAGAGGGTTGAAAACGGATAGAGTGAGCAGACTCCTCTCTCTCTCTCTCTATTTTTTTGCAACCTCGTCGGGGAAAATAGAAAGAGAACAATTTAAATAGAGAATTCCTTGAAGAGAGCTGTTTTTTTTTTTCAAATAACGATAGGGAATGGTTGGTTCAATAGACATTAGGTAAAATACAAGTGTGAATTATTCAACAGCTAATGTTCGTAATCATTTGCTGATATTACATGGGTTTATTTTATTATAACTTCCTAATGCTAACATATTTTTGACAATTCATTTATGTGCTGTGGGCAAGGGGCATTGCTCAAAATGTTGCCGATTATTATACATGTTAACTTTTTAAGGCAGTGTTATTGATGAATGTGTTGAGTTTTTTTCTGTTCAATTGCACTCGTGCATCACTGCCAACGCAGCATCATCAAATACACTGTTGTCTGGTAATGAATTATTTGGAAAACGTAAATTTTTCCTAAAAGAGATCTATATTAATAAGTGAGAGCGGCCTTCAATACAGAACATAGCAACTTTCTAAAGGTATATATTTTTTTGTTTAAAGGCACTAGGTGTTTTTTTTATTCGGGCTAGCATTGACTTGTTGGTTGAGAGGTTATTCCCAAAACCATAAATATGCCTCTGATAACATTTTTTCGTGCAAACCTTCTGCAGGGGACTAGCAAGCAATTTCTCCATTTTCCAATTCAAAGCACTCAATAAGTTTCAGTGTTATTTGAAAAGAAGAAATTATTAGTGCCGTTTTTTTCTGTGGAATAATATCCACAAATGGGGCCACTGATGTCAAACCTGATACGTAAAGGGACTCTGCAATAGGCATCAGAGAATACGTGTTATAATACAGCAGCTCCACTATTTGGAAGTGAGCATAGAGTATTGGTAACCACGTATTAAACATTTTAATCGGCCCATTTTTTTAAATGTTAATTTGGATTTATGTTTCAATGAGA